CTTACCTATAACAGAATTTTTCGAAGAACCTAAATAGAAAAAAAAAAGATTTTTCATTTATAATAGGAACTTACTAACGATAGAAGTTTTCGAAGAACCTAAATAGAAAAAAAAAAGATTTTTCATGTATAATAGCAACTTACCAACGATAGAAGTTTTCGAAGAACCTGAACGGAAGAAAAACGAATTATTTATTTCAAATTGTAACTTACCAACAACAATACAATAGTTCGAAGCATCTAAACAGAAAATAAACGAATATATTGATTTCTAATCGTAGCTTACCTATAACAGAATTTTTCGAATAATCTAAATAGAAAACAAAAATAGATTTTTTTATCTATATTGGTAACCTACCAACGATAGAAGTTTTTGAAGAACCTAAACAGAAAATAAATGAATTAGTTATTGGTAATGCTAACTTACCATTGTTAAAATTTGTCCAACAACCTAAATAGATAATAAACAAATTGGTTACTTTTAATGGGAACTTACCAAGAATAGAACTTTTTAGAGAACCTAAACAAAAGATAAATCAGATATTTATTTCAAATTGTAAGTTACCAATAATAGAATGAGTCCAAGCATCTAAACAGAAAATGAGCGAAACATTACTTTGTAATCCTAACTTACCTATAAAAGTATTTTTCGAAGAACCTAAATAGAAAACAAACGAATTAGGTATTGATAATGGTAACTTATCATTATTAAAATTTATCCAGTAATCTAAATAGATAATATACAAATTCGTTATTTTTAATGGTAACTTGTCAATAATAGAACTTTTCGGAGAACCTGAGCAGAAGATAAATCAGTTATTTATTTCGAATTGTAAGCTACCAATAATATAATTCTTCGACGAACCTAAAGAGAAAATAAGCGAATTATCCATTTGTAATGGCGACTTATCAATTTTGGAATACTTCGAGAAACATAAACAGAAAATAAGCGAAATATTGAAGTGTAATTGTGAATTATAAAGGGCATGTGCTTTCTGGAAACCTAAATAGAAATAAGCAGAAGAATAATTCTAGCGGTAACGCAGCAATAACCTACTTCTTGCATGATCGAAAATGTGAAAGAATCGAATTTTTGTTTTTAAACTACTATTTTCAAAAGGTTATATAGTAGTTGCACTAAGTCTTCAAACCGAGTAACGAATTTATCCATGTAAAAAAAACAGCTTAAAATTAGATAAAAAATTGATTATTTTCTGATTAAGATTCTGATTTTCATGCATCTGTTTTCTACATTTGTAATTTATTTCAAAAGAATATTTATGAATAATATTATGGTTCCGATTATTGGAGGTGTGTGGAAGATAAAATTCTTTTTTCAGAAGCAATTAGTGTTGAAAATTTGTGTAGATGTAAAGAATCTGTCAGCTGAGTTTTTAGTGGAATGTTCGAGGAAGTAAATACCATCTTGATTGACTGTTGTAGGTTTTTGGCAACATGTAATGAGTATGTGACAGAATATTCTACTTAAGTATTCTCGCTTCAATTTATTTCAAATAAAACTAATTCATAAATGTGCGAGAAAAACAAAAAAAAGTTATGAATATAAAGGATAATAGAAGATGTTTCACGATAGCAGCTTCTAGTGCAGTTTCTGTAAATATGATGAGAATATAATGTATGCAAAAGTTCATTAGGTAATGCAGAAAAGAATGAAAAAAAAAACTTTTTAGTTTTTATTTGTTTTTCTTCGAGCGTTTTAAACGGGATGATATAGGCTCTTCAGGATTAGGTCGGCGTTTTTTTGATGAAGCAATATGAATTGGTGGTTTCGTTGGTGGCAGTTCTTTTTGGCTTTTTATCATTGCATGTTCCATTTTGACTGAATATAACCTGTTTTCGTCTGAAAGGACTGAAATTGATGTTTCAACATGTCTTTGTTTTAATGAAGAAGAATGTATCAGTGATTGAGAATCAGTTGTTGCAGTAGATGATGAGAATGATTGTGATGTTTTTTTTGAATTATTGCTTGTATGATCTACATTAGCATCAATCGTTGTTGTCATCGTCGGATTTTCAACATCATTGCCGACTGCATATTTGGACAATTGTTTTTTTACTTCAATTAATGGATCTAATTTGTATGTTCTTTCAATAAAATCTTCTGGTGGTTCTTCATCAGATAAATAATCAGGTTCATTTTCTCCGCGGTGTTGTAAATTGTTGATCGAAGGTGCAGGTGTGTTATTATTGGTAGATGTATGGTTTACCAGTTGAGTTTTTTGTTTACGTTCCTTTTTATCAATTTCGAAGTTCCATTGTTTTAACGTAAATCGTAATTGTTTTGTTAATGTTGCTGGATCTTGTAACAATATTCCATATAATAAATGTATAATTCGATTGTGAGTACCAAATTGCAATTCAAATATAACATATAACGAGATAATAATACATAAAGCTTGATCGATTGATGCTGTTTCAGTAATAACATTATAATCCAAATATATCAAGAACTTATCTGTTGTCACTTGTATTGTTGGACGAGGAGATAATGGTTCCTTAATTATACAGAAAAAAATATGCTGAATTTTTTTATTTAAATAAGCTTGATATGCTTCATTTATCTAGCTTTTGTTCAGCAGCTTATATTTTTTGAGAAATTTAAGTTTACCTTGTAAGTCAAGACATATTGCCACGAATCAGTAAAGTATTTGGACAAAACTTTAATCAAACGTACGGTTGGAAGATCTAAACAAATATCAAAGGGTACGAAACAGATAAACAAACCTTGAGTACCTTCATCAGTTACTTACCATCAACAAAACCTGAGCTATCAGAAATATTGGTAAGTAATTTTGGTAGCATAGATCTGAAATTCACTTCAACATCAACATTGCATAAATACTGAATTTCATCGAAGATCTTTAAAAAAAAAAACTTGTTGCACATAAATGAATCGTTATAGATATTGAATAGGAATGACATGCTAATTAACCCTTTACTCTTGAAGCAGTTCCAGAAGATCCACTGTTAAAACTACCACATAAATAGAGTATTGGCCTTACCATTATGCTAATGGTTTGGGCAGATCGATCAGGTGCAATATATTTTGCGCAGAATAATTTTGTAATTATAGGGATCGTTGAGCTAGAGAGGGAATGAAACGACTTAAGAAGCGCTACTTCTTTTCTTTTTTATGAGTGTTAGCTAGACAAGAATGCCATCTATTTCTTTTTGTTAGACTACAATCAAAAAAGAAATACCACGTATATAAAAAGCTATTTTTAAATACATATCTATTTTTGACACAGCTCTTTTAAAAATACACATTTTTCTTTAAGTAATTATATCATCAATGAAGAAATTAAATTGATGATAAAAATGTTTCTCGGCTACTATTATAATAAAATTTAGAAATAAAATGTTCATAATATGCATCATCTCGCACTTCCTGCTCAATAATTGTTCCAGAACTCATTTTTGTCATACCGTGTTTTATCTGGCAACCGATTAGAAAATTTTCGAAACACGTTCCATTCATTAGTAGATGTTCTAGTTGATATAGATCATACAACGCCCTCGAAATCTGTATTGTCTATGAATGAGAAACACTTTGTTTTTAAAATTTCGGTTGTTTTTAATTTTTGAGCATTATCGATTTTGTAAGTCTCATATCTCAGCGACAGAGCAGTGAAACAAAATATTTCTTTTACCAATCGATAGCTTATGGAGTTTCCTACCTAGCATGTTCTGGAAGCTTTTAAATCTCACGTTTCTTTCATTTTCCGAGAGCGTTCTACAAGCGAATCAAAAGTAACCTACCATAGCGTTAAGAGTTAAAATCTGAATAAATGATAAGAATGTACTCACCAACAAAACATTACTATAACCAGGATATTCTTGAAGAACTTCTTTAGTCGTGTGATTTTGAACGTACAATCTTCTGTCGACCAATGTTTTCTTCCACGAGTTTCTGACACTATCCAAATCGAAGCTTTCTTTTGCTAATTCGTTCTTCATAAATTGAATATGTTCATCGATTTCTTGAGGATCATCATTAACATCTACTTTATTCCAAAACTCAACATGAGCCTTGGAGAAAAGAAACAAAAGAATCAATTATACTGTACGATTGACTTTATATTCTTTTTTTTTTTATTAATACATACTTCACGACGAGCAGCGATTACATTATCAGTTTGTTTGACCGGACGACCACCTCGATTACCAAATTTCAGTTTCATCTTCAGAACTTCTTCGGATATTTGTTGCAGTGGACGACGTTCACGTTTAAATTTATTCTTAAGGCTCTCAATCCAATCGTTCTACAAAGAAATACATTATTAAAACGACAAGATATGAAGGAAAAAGTTCCTAGACTATATTTTTAGAATTTAATTCTATGCCTGATTGTAAAAATTTATAACAAATCTGACAGCTTCCACAGAATCTAGAAGTTTTTCTTCCATTAATTGAAACTATGTTCCAAGGACAGCGCGCCAATCAAATGTGTCAGCCATATGAGGCTGTAGAAATTGATAGGCTCTGATTTAATGTTTGGTCGCAGCTCACAAAGAGAAGTTAATAAAGTTATGTGCTCCATCAGTGAATCTCTCAACGAAATAACTCTCATTTGCAGTCAGCTTAAAACGAGTTTACTTACCAATGCTTCATTATCATTCTTAATATTTAATTTTTCTAGTATTGCTATACCCATTGATCTGTACTCATGTGTATCAGGATAGCTAAAATAAAATAAATATATTACGGCTTTCTTAGATAAAATATCGTGAATACTCACAACAGAGAATATTTTGTTGTAACATCCATGAAAATAGCATCAAGTAATAATCGACGAGCGTTTGTATGACCACGAAAACCATTTATATCGCCTTTGTCAATAATTTGTTGAATTTTTGGTGGTAAATCAAATATATGATATCTAATTGGAAAATGTGGTTGTTCTTCATCTTCATAATTTTCTTTGTCATTGTCTTGTTGTAATGAAATCATTGTTTCTTTATTCACAACTTCAGAATCAGTTGAAGAATCAAATGTAGAAGAATTATTTCGATCATTATTGGAAAATATAATCGTTGACATTGACGTGAATTGATTTGCATCAGGTTGTTCAATCACTTGTTGAGAACTAATAACAGGTAGATTGTCAGTATATTTCTTCGATGTTATTTGATCAGAAGTATCCTGAAACTTGTTATGAAAAAGAGCACGATGTTCTGCCAGAAAACGTATACGTTCTTTAATTGGTTTTATTATTTCGTACATTATTGATTCTGGTAAATTGAAAAGTGTTTCACCATCGATATCTTCTCCTAAAAAGAAAAGAGAAAAATGTATTCAATTAAAAATTTCGATAATATAAAAGCATTGCTATCCTTGCATTAGTACAATTCTAGGATGAATGAAATACTTATCTTTGATAAATAACTTTCTAAAAAAAAAAGGACTTAATTTACTTTATTTAAACTTTTTTTTTTCTATAGTAATACGTGAAAAAATGTTAACATAAGATTTTTTATCTAACTCATAAATATCAAGGCCCTGTGGTAGTATATGAATAAGTTCATTTGGTTGCTTTATCGACAATAAGTGTGTGTGTTCCAGCTCATATGACCATAATGATTCATTGAAAGCAATTGTTTGTAGTTGTTCAACGATCAACAACCAAGCATTATCAATTTTTAAGATAAAAATCAAATGAAGAAACGAAGGTACTTCCTCTTCGTGTACCAAATTATCCACAAACACTGATCCTTTAATAAGCATAACATTATTGAATTTTAATCTTTGATATTCTATGATTGTGGTCCTATCATCAAAATATCTAATATTTTCGTGTAATAATTTACGAACATCAGCTGGTAATGCATATAAATTTCTTTCTGTTGACGAATAACCTTCATTAATCATTTTGTAATAATTCGATAATGATAACAATAGGCATTGTCGAAGTTGATGACGTTTTGATAGTGTATACAAGATATTTTTGAAGTTGTTGGACTTAACAGCAAGTTGTTTGAAGATTTGATGTTTGGATTCAAAACGCATACACCAATGTCGAATAGGTGGACCGTACATTTCGACTTGTTTTGCATAATGTGTGATCAAATGTACTTTAGATATTACAAGATTAGGAAGTAAATGAACCATTAAACTTTGAAAACGAACAGTTAAAGAATGTAAATATGGCAACCAAGATTTTCGAAAAGGAGAAGCATATAAATGACTAATAATTTCACGTAAACAGATGTAAATTTCTTTGGTATCTAATTGATCAATTATGTCGTGAAATATAAGGGGAAATAACTTGAATAGGCACATCTTCTGAGATGCTGTACCTACAATCTTTCCTTTGTTTAAATGTTTCTTTCGTAAAATCGGTGGTTTGTTTGACTTATCATTAAGACCATACTCAAATGACATCAATCTATCTTCAACATCCCCATAAGAAAGAATACGTTTGGTTGATGCTTCCTTTATCATCGCTAATAATATTTGACTACAAAGGCCTAAACAAAGAAAAAACCTTTTCTCAAGAAATAATCTCTTTTCTCTATACCCTCATTGAAATCGTGCATAAGATCATTCGGCAGTGATGTTGTAGCATGGAAACCGATCAATTTTGAAAATGGACTTACATCAACAACACCTTGTAAAATAATACTATTATTTAAATTTATAACTTGTTGAACCAGACTATCATGCTGATCTCTTGTTCGGTGAGGGTAAGAAATTTGACTTGAAGGAATAAGTCTCTGATCATAGTTTATATGACAATGTCTACAAAACTGACCACTATTAAAATTTTTTTGAAATCCACCAATATCATTGGAACCTAAATGATCTCCAGCCACAATAGTAAATGCAAAATTCAGTTGAGTATCAAGAGCTGGAATATAGAGCCCAGTCGTCTGAAGTGCATTCAGATCTTCAACGATCGGCGCAAAGAACTTTATTCTATTTGACTTAATTGACAAATAGGTGGAGTGGCACATAGCTAAAAGTCCAATTGATTTTAACTTTGATCTAAAAATATCAGGTAAATCTTCCAGTTGAAAATATAACATAGTGATTTTTTGAGTGTCCTTTTTGGCTCCTATAGGATTCGTCAAGCCAATCTCATCAATATATAGGTGAAATAATAATGAATCAGGTTTATTCTTTAAAATTGGATGTTGTTTTGCTTGTGATGCATGACGATAATCATACATAAGATCAGTATCAAAAGCATTGCGATTGATAGTTTGATTAAAATTCTTGATTAAAATATCCAACACATAAGAATTACTCAGCATTTGTTGAATACTGGATTGCATTGGTATATAATATGCTACTTGGTTCGGATTTTCCAATTTTATTTCTTTAGGTGAATCATAGGAAAAATATTTTTTGCATAATCTCAAGAATCGATGTTCATTTTTAGTAATATTGGTCATTCTTTCTACAGCACTTGAAACTATGTTGTTTACATCAGTTAATAATATAAAATCCGTTGTTGGGTGAGAACAAGCCGTTTTTTGATCCTTGATCGATGAGCTTTTAACTTGACTTTTTAATAACTCATAAATGAATTCAATCAACGATCTTACTCCGGACGTGACTGTTTGAACGATATTTTGTGGTAGAGAATGACCTTCTCTCAGATCAAGAAGAAACTGTAAATAAAACTTTTCGAAAGAATCTAAATCTTTCTTATTTCCTGATAATGAAGGTATTTTCTCTTTAAGCGTTGGCCAACATATCACATCTTCAATAGATGTTTCTTCTACTATATTATCTTGTTCATCTTCCATATCATTCATGTCAATATCAAAATCCAACTGATTTTCACAGTATGTTGAAGCTAATGTTTCACCATTATCAGCATTCTTGTCAAGTTGCATTTCTTCTTTACATGAGCTATCATTAAGAAGATCTACATGTTCTCTATAAATATGACTTTTATAAGCTGCAAATGTGGAGTAACTTGTTCCACATAACGGTCCTAACTCACATCGAATTCTAAAGTTAGGTTCTCCATTATGAGCATATTGTACATGCTGAAATAATTTTCGGAATGTACGATAAGATTTGCTGTCAATGCACAACTGACACAAATAACAATTTTTTGATGACATAAAAATATTACTCACTGCAAAAAACATCGAGAACATGTTGGTTTCTATTAAAAGAAGACAACCATTGGATTACTTGTGAACAATTCCAGTGTCTTGGATCCATTTATATAGAATTTATTGATATCAATTAAAGTTTAATATGATGAACAAGTATACTTAAGACAAATCCTTCAATAACTAAATCAGTACCGAAAAAAAAAGATTTTTGTAACATAAAAAGAAAGTAATAAAAGGCTTACATAAAACAATTGTTGATATAAGTCCAG